CACAGGAATTTTCATCAATTTCATGGAATTCTGCCAAGCGGACCTCTGGCGCCACATGCCGGCATCATTCGGGCGCCCGTGCGCGCGTGATGGGGGGGGGGCGCGATGCGCGTCGACGAAAACAATGCGGGCCACTCTCGCGCGTCGGCCGCGCGCGCGCGTCGAACTCTTTCCGCGACCTCCACCGCCCGCGCGAGGACGTCGTCGTCGTCGTCGTCGGCTAGATCAGCATCGGCGCCCGCGCTGGCCGCGCCGTCGTCGTTTTCGACATCGTCACCAGCATCGCTACTACCATCGTCGTGTCCACCGTTGTCGACGTTGCCGTGATGCCGCGCCCGCCCAAGTCGCCGACTCGTAATGAAGTGTCCGCTGGGATGCGCCCAGCGGTCAGCGCCGCCGCGGCCGCGTCGGTGGCGCCAGACTAGCTGGCCGCTGCGAACGCGTGCTTGGGTTGGCGCGGCCGCAGAGATGGACCAGCCAACGTCAAGCACTCATCGCAATCGCCGCAGCATGGGATTTTGCAGACCAGGTTGCGGGTGGATGGGTGGGATGATTGCGCGAGCAATGGAGGTGGTCAAGCGCGGTGCAGGGTAGTCAAATGCACCGCGTAGACTCTCCTTTTCTAAAGAATATTCGGACCTGCCCGCCCTCCCCCTCCCCTGGATTCAACCGCCCGCCATTCCGTGTGCAGTTAACATGTGATTCTGCCGCATCGTCCAGCCTGAATCCGAAGTCATACCACCCCAGCCAAACCGGTGATGGTTCCCCGCCTCGCCCCCCGCCAAAAATTCTTTGCGCGCGCGCTCGCTGATGAAACGTCGACAGCTTTAAACAATCCCTTGCAGCAGATGGAACGAAATGCACGCGCGCACGTCGTCGCGTGCGCGTGCCACGACCCTTCGGGAGCCATGGGCGTCGCGCGGATTGCAGCGTCGAGAGTCGCGAACACCTATGAACGCGCATGGTTTCGCAGCACAGGTTCTCAAACAAGTCTGTGCCAACGCTATATATATGTATATATTATACATATATGTCATCGCTGTCATCGAGGGCGACCAAACGGGCCTCTCGCGCGCGCGTCGGAATCGCTCGAACTCCCCTGTGCGCGTGCTTTCGCAGGAATCCACGGCAAAAGCACGGGGCAAAGTGCGCGCGCGCACGTCGTCGCGCGCGCGCGCCGAAATCCTTGGACAACTTTGGGTTTCGCGGGAATTTCAAAACTTAGCGCCCCGAGCCATCGAGGAGACGCAATGTTCTGTAGCGTCAGTTTTCAAACATGCCTGCGCTCGCGCTCCTGCAAATTCTTAAATAAACCATCGATTTTCCAATATTTCCATCACATCCTGCCAACTGGGCCCCTCGCGCTGCGCGTTGAAATCATTCACGCGCCCTTGCGCGCGTGCTGGGGGGGGGGGGGGGGGGCAATCCGCGTCGGGTAGAACTAGGCGGGCCGCTCTCGCGCGTCGGCCGCGCGCGCGTGTCGAGCTCCCTCCGCAACCATCATCGCCGACGCGAGGGCGTCGACGTCGGCGCCGTCGCTGGCCTTGCCGTCGTCGTTGCCGCCGTCGCCACCGGCGTCGCCGCCGTCATCGTCGCGTCTACCGCTGTCGACGTTGCCGCGATGCCGCGCCCGCCCAAGTCGCCGACTCGCATTGAAGTGCCCGCTGGGAAGCACCCGGGGGTCAGCGCCGGCGCCGCCGCGTCGGCGGCGCCAAACTATCTGGCCGCTGCGCGCGCGACCATGCGCAGGCTAGCGCGGCCGCAGAGATGCGCCGGCCAACTCCAAGCACTCATCGCAATCGCCGCCGCGCGGTTTTTGCAAACCAAGTTGCGGGTGGGTGGGTGGGATGAGTGGGCGAGAAGTGGAGTGGGCAGCTCGCTGCGAACAGAAATCCGTTGCACCGCGTAGATTGCGCCGCGGAGTTTGCGCCGCATAGAGTGCGCCGCATAGTCTGCGCCGCGTGGATTGCGCCGCGTAGATTGCACCGCGTAGATAGCGCGGCATAGTCTGCGCCGCAAGAATTACACCGCGTAAGTTGTACCACTCATATGGCGCCACATAAACTGCGCCTTGTAGGTTGCACCGCGTAGTTTACACCGATCAGATTCCCCGTTCTCAAAAAGGATTAGGACCCCACTCCCCGGATTGACCGCCCCCTGGACACGTGCAAGTTACATCTGATTCTGCCCCGCCGTTTATGCCTTATCTGCGCGCGCTTGTTTATCGCGAGTCATTCATCTTCCAGAAAGCCTCTGCCAACAATGGGGCGAAGTGCGCGCGAGCGCGTCGTCGCGCGCGCGTGCTGGAATTCTGCGGGAACCCGGGAAAACCGAACAGATTTTCAAATCGAGTGTCCCAGAGGCATATCACACATTCATGGCTGTATAACACCAGCTTCAAAGCATGTCTGCGAGCTCTTGCTAGTTCTGAAGGGAACCATCGCCTCTTTGTCATTGTCATTCCTATATGAACAGCATTTTCACCAACCGCGACCAAGCGGGCCTCTCGCGCCCGCCATTGCGTGGTTGCCATGGGGCGGGGTGAGGTGGGGGTAGCGGGGTGGGCGCGATCCCTGTGAAATAATACAATGCGTGCCACTCGCGCCCGTCGGCCGCCCGCGCATGTCGAAATCCTTCCTGTGCCCTCGTCGCCGACGCCTGGGCGTCATCGTCGCTATCGGCGCGTTTAGCATCGGCCCCGTCATGTACCTGGCCGTCGCCATCGTCGTCGTCGTCGTAGTCACTCGCATCGCTGCAATCATCGTCCTGTCTGCCGTTGTCGACGTCACCATGATACCGCGCCCGCCCGAATCACCGACTCGCACTGAAGTGCCCGCGTGTCAGCGCGGCCTGTGGGGCGCGCTTGGAAGTCCCCAGCGGTCAACGCCACCGCGGCCGCGTCGGTCGCAGCTGTGCGCCAACCAGCGCTAGGCAGGGCATCGCAATTGCTGCCTCATGGGCTTTGGAAACCAAGTTGCGGGTGGGTGGGTGAAACGATTGCGTGAACAATGGAATCGGTTGCAATGCGTAAGTTTGCACCGCGTATTTTGCACCGCCTAGTCTGCTAAAGCGCATTGTTTTTGGGTTCGCGCTGGCTGACGTGTTCCTTCTGTGGAATTAGGGGCGGTGGCTCCCAGAGTTGGCCGCGGAGCTACCGCAAGATCTTTTAAGCTCCTCAGCTGGGGCTCCTTAGTTGTAAGCAGCTCAGGCGATCAGAAAGCGCGCCCGAGCCTGAGTCGCGCGCCCGAGGGCGAAGCACGCACCCGAACGCGAAACGATCGCGGAAGGGGCCACAAGCAGCCCAGCATGCGCCAACAATTCAACTTGACAACACGCATTCGCGCCAGCATCTTGTATCGCCCATTCGTCGTGGGCAACGCAGCTAGATATCATCATGAACTATGGCTGGACATGGTTGTCCTTTGGTCCTGAGTCCTAGCGCGCCCTAGCCGCCTGGCCGAAAATCGGCTCTGATCATGCTCTCTTCCTGCCACTTCTAGTTTCTCTTTCGCCTACCCCCTGGTCACTGGGCAACCGCGGGCACGGCTCGGCCGACCCGCGGCCAGCTGCCTCGAGACCGCCGCGAATATCTGAAGGTAGTATACGGGAACACTCGGCTGGTTACTGGCTTGGGATTTGATCTTCACGGTGCGCATTTTTCCTCGCCCAGCTTTCCCGCCGCGCGCGGAATCATGCGCAGGTCAGCTACGAGGGGTCGAGGGCGGCACTGGTTTTGCTTGACTGCGTGGTGGGTGGGGGCATTGTTTCGGCAAGGCTGGGACACACCATTCCAGGGATGCTCGTGGGGTGTGGGGTACCCTCTCCTGGAGAGCAAAGCGCTCCTCCCGCTCTGTCATGTTCTCCCATTCCTCTCTGCTGGCCGTGCCCGCCTTCCGATCCGCCCGTTCGTCTCCTCCTTCCTCAGATCATGGGGTTCATGTTTTCCGCCAAGGGTGGCAGAGGAGGTTGAGGGGCCTCGCGGGTCTGCATGACCGAAATATTTGTTGCATCAGGGTGATGGCATGTGTTGCCACTTGTCGAGATCCAATGGTTCGTCCAGCCTTCGACGGAAATCCAATTGCACCACACAGCGCGACAAACTCTGGGCCCACCCATGCGTTCCCGACCACAGCGTCGGAATGGACGGGGAAGGTATCGATCTGGCATGCAGGGGATGAGGGCTGATGCCTCTAACACATGTCTCGCTCCCGGCGCAAGTCGGCTTCACGCCCTCCTGCGCTGTCGTAGCTGAGCCGCCCCTCTCCTCCCCCCTCTTCCTACCTCCTCCCTCCTCTCTCCTCCCTCCTCCCCTCTCCCTCCTCCCTCTCCCCTCGCTCGGACACCATCGAGCTCGCCAGTCCGCCGCCTACATCTGAAAGAAATTGGCCGGTGCCTACCCACCGCCAGCGCCAGCACCCTTCTCCTCCACCTCCTCCTCCTCGGTCTCCCTCATAAACCACCCCCTCGACCCCTCCGAGGGAGCGTTATGACCAGGATCTCGAGGAGGATCCAGCCGCGGGCAGCGGCGAGAGTCTCTAGGACCATGGAGGCCCAACAAATAACGAAGAAGCAGCCAGAAATGCTCTCCCCCGTGCTCCTTATCCTTCCTCCTCCCCTTCACCTGGTTGTCGTCCTCCCTCTCCGCCCCACCCTGCTCCTCCTCCTTCGCCTCCTTTCTCCTCGGCAGACTTCCGACGCCGTTTTGTTGTGACGAGGCAGGCCTCCCAAACTCTCGACTGCACCCCTGGAACTGATCTTTTGTTGGTCCCAACGGCAGTTCCCCGGGGATAGCGAGTCGTCCTTTGTCCTTGTTGACGGCCCTATGTGCTCTAAAACGGCCTTCCAGGTTGTCAAAAGCCGGACTGTTCGAAGACACCTTGTATTTTCTCGCCGACCAAGACGCAGCATGTGGATCCTTGGACCTTCTCGTTCTCGTCTCTTCTTCCTCCTCCTCCTCCTCCTCCTAAGCTGCGCCATGGGGGCCGGCCGGCCAGCCCCGCCTTCCCTGGAGTGACGCTCCAACCGGCGGGCTTGTCGATGGCCAGGAAGTCGGTGTCCTTGTACAGCAGGCGCCGGGCGAGCCAGTCCTCGGAGCCAGGAGGAGGTCCAGGGATCGAGGCTGCAGAAAACGAAAACGAGGAGAAGGAGGAGGAGGACGAAGGCGACGATGATGACGATGATGACGATGATGATGATGATGATGATGATGATGATGATGATGATGAAGATGATGATGATGATGATGATGATGATGATGATGATGGTGGTGGTGGTGGTGGTGATGATGCTAATGACGATGACGATGACGATGACGACGATGATGATGCTGATGTTGCTGATGATGACGACGATGATCATGATGGTGGTTATGATGATGATGATGATGATGATGATGATGATGAATGTTCTTAGGATGCTGACTCTCATGACGACGATGATGATGATGGTTATGCTGCTGCTGATGATGATGACTATGACCGCGATGATGATGCTGATGCTGATGCTGATGACGATGAAGACAGCGATGATGATGCTGATGATGGTGATGCTGATGATCCTGCTGCTGCTGCTGATGATGATGATGATGATGATGATGATGATGATGATGCTGATGATGATGATGATGATGATGATGATGATGATGATGATGATGATGATGATGGTGATGGTGTTGGTGACGGTGATGATGACCATGACGATGATGGTGTTGGTGACGGTGATGATGACGATGACGATGGCGATGGTGCTCAGAACCTCCCGACGGCCTTGGTTTGACTGCTCTTAGCCTGTGCGGTCGGTCAGCAACCAATGAGGATGACGATGGTGGTGGTGGTGGTGGTGGTGGTAATGGCGATGATGCATGGTGATGGTGATGAGGAGAATCGAAAGAAGGATGCTCCCTCCACCCTCCTTCCCTGCCTTGGAGGGTGCACTTTCGAGCTGCCCCCCGGGTCCTTCCTGGGCTCGGCCGCCGCCCGGGCAGAAGCCCGCCTGTCCGAACGGGCTCCGTGCAAAGTGAAGGGGTGGGGTCGGCGGCTGCAGGAAGGGGGGGTGTGAGGAGGACGAGGAAGGGGAGGGGGGGGGGGAAGGCGGAGGAGGGGGGGGGGAGGATGAAGCAGGAAGGGGCGGGAGGGGATGAAGAGAGAGAGAGAGAGAGACAGAGCGAGAGAGAGAGAACGAGAGAGAGAGAGAGAGAGAAAAAAAAAAGAGAGAGAAAGACAGAAGGGATAGCATGAAGCTGACACTCATGATGATGGGAGAGGGGGGAATTTGCTAGGCGCTGCAGCCTGCAAGCCTCCGAAGCCAGCCCAGGATTCACAGACAGGAAAAGGGACCGCAAACGGCGGGGAGCCCAGTGAGGCTCCAAACCAAAACTGACTAAACATCAGGCGGCGAGCCCGTCCCTGAGTCCGACTCGCGGTGGAGAGCGCTTCCGAGTTCTGAGAGCCGTGTGCTGGGCTTTCGTGAGCGAGAGGCGGCCGTGTGCGACAGATAGGCGCTCCTGGGCCAAGATCAGTGGGGGGTCCTCGGCAAATTTGCCGCACTCGCTACAGAAAACGGCAGCTCCTCCTCCTGCTCCTCCTCCTCCTCCTTCCCCTCCTCCTCCTCCTCCTCCTCCTCCTCCTCCCCCTCCTCCTCCCCTTTTGCCAGAGCGCATGGGATTGGTGCAACCTGTGGCCTCGCCAGGCCTTGCCTCGAGACTCGGGCTGGGTGGCCGGGGCCACCTCGTGACGCGGAAGAGCTGCTCGTCGAACGGAGGTAAGGAAGCACACCTCGGCGGGAGGCGGACGCACACGCGAGCAGGGGCCGCGGGCAGTGATGCAAGGGAATTGCGAGCCGCACGCCTGGACGCAAGTCGAGAGAGACACTGACTGTGGGACTTCAACACGGTTCTGCCACAAAGCCTGCAACTCCACCCCCTGGGACATGTCTTTCCAGGAGTGCGAAGCAACCTTAGGAACACGCTGCAGCGTGGCCGCATTCCTCTGGACCTTCGGGACCTTCGCGGGTGTGAGCGCGCGGTCGGGATCCCTTGGGGAGCTGGCCGCAGCGACCCAACGCGAGGCATGGCGACGCAGACTAGACTCGGCCCTGGTTGAGGAGGGCATAGGCGCGCTCTGCGCGCGGGGAGCGCGCTCCTCAGCCGAGCCGTCGACCACCGTGTTGGCGTGGACTGCACCTGTCTGATCGGACCCGCCGAGCCTGGCGAAGTTCGTTTCGTCCCCGGCAGGATGAGAAGACACAGTGCGGCATTCTCGAGCCTCACGCAGTGGCGTCTCTTCTGCACATGGGCCCACACGTGGTTCGCATGGTCCGAGAGAGTGGTTAGCCCAACATCGTGGTGGCCAGCCGATGCACTTCAACCGACGCTAACAACTCAGCACGCGGAACCGTCTGCTTAGAGCTGTCCACCAGAGGCGTGCACACATAGACCCACGCGCGCTGGATGGCAGACGCAAGACGGATGACTTCTCAGACGGCACGGCGCAACATTGGCTGCTTGTGGTGACCTCCCGAACCATCAGCAGCATGGACTCCTTCCGGCAATGGCCACGCTCCTCACCGCAGAGCCATTCAAGCTCTCGGGACCCAGGAGGGGGAGGGAGCTCAAGCCACGAGGGGGGGAGATACGACCACGCGACCAGAGCATGGGGGCCTGCTCAACCTCCTCCAGAGGCTGGTGCGCCAGGTGATTGGTCTCGACCACTTAGGGGCTGGGGGGGGTCCCGTGCCCGCAGACGCCGCCCGCTCGGGCGAAAAAGAGGAATGCGTGGGCATTTCCAGTGGCGGAGCGCGATGGGCAACGGGGATCCCTTGAAAAACGCTGGCGCACGTCGTCCGCTGGGTATTCGGCCTTAAAACCTCCGGGATTCGGTCCGATGTCCTCCGCAAGCCACAATGGCGGACCATCGTTCTGAGGATTCCGAGCGCTCCGCCAACGCCGGAACATGCTGAAAACAAGCACAACCCCCCCACCTCCGTCGAGATGCTTCGAGGCCCGGGGGCAGGGTCGAGACTCGATGGTGGCCTCGAGAGCGTCCAGGAGACGTGTGGGTGGCGCGGTTCCTTGGTCGACCAACCCCGATCGACGCCGACAGGCCCGCGCAAACTGTCGAGCGTCGGGAACTCCCAACATGGGAAGATGAGCGAGGCCGGATCGGCCCCAAGGGGCCCTCGGACTTGGGTCCAGCCTCGAGGCGCACGGGCAAAGGAGGACTCCTTCCAGAGCCCCCGAATCCCCTCGGCAGGGCCGTGGGGCGAGGAAACCTCGGCGAACCAAGCCGCAACAAGCTTCCGAATACGGGGTCCAAGGGCCCCTCCCAGCACCGGAATAGAAGAACACATTACCACAAGAAGCATAAACTTTTGGCGCTGCGCGCGGACTTATCTGGATCTGCGCTGGAGCCCCCTCCCTGGCGCGCGGAGCGTGCCAGGGGCGGCGCCGGAGGCGCCGCCAGGGGGGCCCCAGCGCGGATCCAAGAAATCCGCGGAGCGACAACCATTTGTGCTTATGTGGCCTTTTCTTCTTCTTCTTCTTCGACGAGCCAGGCTCTGGTCGCCGTGGTGGCGCAGGGGCCTGTCGTTGGGGGCACGTGCTTCCCGGGCGGGCCCTGGCCGCGCAGCACGAGCGCAGGGTGCCGGGGGGGCCCAGGCCGTGGATCCCTCGGGGGCCCACGCCGCCCCGGGGAAGCTTTCGTGAGATCAAGCTCGGTGGCCTTGGGAGGGGGAGGAGGGGGAGGAGGAGGAGGAGGAGGAGGAGGAGGAGGAGGAGGAGGAGGAGGAGGAGGAGGAGGAGGAGGAGGGGGAGGAGGAGGAGGAGGAGGAGGAGGAGGAGGAGGAGGAGAGGCTCGTGCAACAAAAAACTCTCGCTTGGGAAGCAGCTTGCCCGCGACCCGCCAGGATGCCGCCTCCTGGCTGGGAACCAGGGTGTACCGTTCTGTCGAGGGTGAGGAGATGGGGGCCGAGGTGCACGTTCAGGGCACAAGTGAGGAGGCGGATTGGGTAATTAATCTAGCTTGTTGGAGGCCTTCACCAGATCTGGCAAATGAGCTATGCCGTAAAACTCACGCATCTCCAACGCTCTTCCCGCCACAGAGAAACGTCCAATAACGCTGACTCTCCCCTCCGACTCGTCAATCCAACCACCGTTCTCGGCTGAGCTGCCAACCGTTTTGTCCTGGGGGGCGTGACTGGAACTGTCCCGCGCTTCTATCATCTGCTTCCTGATGCGAAAAAAGCAACGGGTAACAAACACCTAGCATGGCAATCAGACGCAAACCTCCGTCGTCCCTATCAATGATACCGATCATTTTAGAGAACTCTCGATATGAAACTGCAGCCTGCAGCTCAAGCGCCGTGGGCAGGCCGGCCAGAGCAACGAATCGTCCTGGGAAGGGGGGGTCATTGACCAGGCGCGGGGGCATACCATCCAAGCCCCTGCCGCGGCGATCGGGAACAGACCTCAGAGCCTCTCTCACCTGGTCAGCGCTGATGGGTGCCATGGGTTTAGATCCTAAGGCAGCAACTCTCCGCGAGGACAAGGTCTCCACTGCGTCCGCCCTGCTGCGATGACTCCAGATCTCGCTCCGCGCTTCCCCTTCCGCCCCTGAGCGATCCACTGGTGTGGTGGCTGGGCGGCCGTGAAAGTTCGGTCCCTCGCGCGCCCCCGAAAAGTCCCCTGGGGAGGCGACGCGCGGGGGCCGCCGACTTTTTGAGAGCCTCGCCCAGCCGGGCCTCTCACCTGGACCTGGCAGCGTTGTGAGCTTGGTTGGATGCCTTGATCCCCTTGGCAGTGGCCTCATCCGTTATCGGCTGGAGACTCTCGACCGACGCGTGGCGGAGTTGGCGGAGTCAGGCGGCCTGCCTAGAGAGACCGGCGGCCTCCCGAGCATCGGGCGGGTCCAAAGCCCCTGGGGGGACAAGGGATTCCAGACTGGCCGCGTGACTCCAAACTGGAGCCGAGCAAACACCTCGAGGCAACGTGAGCTCATCGGGCCCCCTTCTGGGACCGCCAAGGCCGGCGGGCAAAACGAGCCGAGAAGCGAGAGGCTGCCGGAAGCATGCGTGGCGGTCCACCAGCGGGGCCTTGCAGGCCCTGGGAGGCTGAGGCCCCCCGTGCACGTGGAGGCCAGCCTGTTCACGGCAGCCCTTTCCCAGCACGAGTGGCCAGCTCCGACGCGCGCGACCGGAGAGACAGCGAACGGTCCAGAGCCCGGGCCGCGGGTAGAGCGTCGCGCTGCTGGTCCAAGATCTGGAACCCCCCAAATTACTTCTGAATTTGCCGGGCCCAGAACGGAGCAAGGCCGCGGCACGATACGTCGCCTCTTCCCAAGACACATCCAAGGTCAGAGACACACCGGCAGCAATGTGAAGGGCTTCGGGCGTCATGGCCCTGAGCCCTTCGACGAGGCGAAGAGAGGAGTCGATGGCGAACTCGAGGGCGAGATGCGTGGCCCGCGGGGCCGGCAGTCGACTCCGCCAGCGCGAGCAGACTGGGCAAACTCGGAAGATGCTAAAGCGAAATCTAGTCTGCTGACAATCTCTCTGGCACCTTTACGCGCCGCCTCCACGTTATGCGCGACCTAGCGCAAACTGGGGTCTGCGAAGAGCCCCGACCTGGAGATGTCCCCGATGGTGTTCTGCCCGTCTTTCATTATGCCGACTGTCCCTGCTATCTGGCTGACCCTGGCCCTGGCCCGGCACAGCACCCCCGCATGTTTGCCACTTGGGCAGGCACCGCTGACCGAGTGGGCGGGGGCGCGGGTCAGCTCGACGCGACGCGGACGGATGTTCGCCTGCCGCCATCTGGAGCGCGAACTCTTGGACCGGCCTCCTGAATCCTCAAGAGACATTATGGAAAGGCCCGCACGAGACCTCGCCAGGACTGCAACGCCTGCCACCGCCTTCCAACCGAGGCGGTTCAGCGGGTCGCCGTGAAAAATATAATGTCAGAACCCGTCTCGGCAAGCCAGCGTTCGGCCTTCGGGCCC